GTTATCAGCTGGTCCATGCTCTCCTATTCAGGGAGGGAAACATAGACCCAGATAGGAAGTGGGTCTCTGCAGGTACAATGCTGAGGCAGGAGTGTGGTCCTCCTGACCCCACAGTCAATGTCCAGCCTCTGTCTACCCTGGGTGATGGATTAGCCCCTCCTACTGTTTAGGGCCCCTGCTGACCTTAATCAAAGCCAAATATAGTTTTTTGTTTTTGTTTGTTTGTTCTTTACTGTATTTGGTTTTTACAGGATCTCACTACGTAGCTCAGACTCCTAGTGATCCTCAGCCTCCCCAGGGTTGGGATTACAGACCTATGCCACTAAGCCCACCCAGGCTCTACAGCAGGCTGAGCCTGCCCTGGCAAAGGGGGCTGGTGCAGCGGATGGTGTTGGGGATCAAACCACAGTCCCTGCGCTTGCCTAAGCAGGTGCTTTAGTCCACTGAGCTACCTCGTCAGCCCAAAACCTAGTTTTTCAAGGACAAAACGTCTTTAATATGTGCCTTAGCCCTAAAGAACTAGAGCTAAACTAGGTGTGGTGGTGCACACTTGTAATTCCAGCACTCAGGATGCTGAGGAAGGAGAATCACCCTAAGTTCTAGGCCAGCCTGGGCTACATAAGCAAGTTCAAGAGCAGCCTGAACTACACAGCAAGACTGCCCGTGACTGAGCTACTGATCTGTGTGTGGAGCCAAGAGCTTGAAGAGCACCGAGGGCATGAAGCCAGTGTCCCAGGCAAGCAGATGTTCTATCCGCCATCCCCACCCCAAGAACACGGGGACTGGAGAAATGAGCTAGCTGCTAAGCAAAGCAGTTTCACTTGACACCAACTTTCTAAATGTATAAATAAAACCCACTGCAGTGGTTGAGCAACTCCTTTTCCTCCCATCTGGACAGAGGGCTCCACCTGACCTCAGCTTTCTAGATGTTGTCTCTTACCCTTCTTTCTCCCTCCTCTCTGGAACTTGGAGAGCTGCTCTGGACAAGGCATAAAAGCCTGCCTCGAAAAGGAACTAGAGCTAAAACTCTGCCCCCTGTGGTTGTCTCCGTGTCACACACACGCAATCACACTCCAAGCACTTACGGCTTTTGCATACTAACACATCCCCAGCGCAGCCGCTCAGGTGTGTGCCCATCACAAGGCTTCTGCCTGCCCAGACATACCATGTTCCTCACACCCAGGCATGCACTCTTACCCACCATGGGCAGCTCCTCAAGACCCAAAGGCAGCTCTGGCCTTGGTTAGAGACCTTGATACAGCTTATAGCTTGAGCTTGAGATCCTGGGGACTCCGATGGAGGCTGTTTGATTCCTGAGGTCCCTCTTAGTTCCATGTCCTTTGCGGAGGGTGGTGACTGGAGGAGGGCTGAGGAGGTAAGAACCTAGAGTGGCCGGTGGCACAGTGTGACATGGTCTTGTTTGCTGCATTCTGTTGCTGTCGCTTGGCATGAGGCTCTTCCAGTGTCACCCAGCTGGCCTCCTCTTTGTGGGACTTAAGTGATTTCCCTGCCTTCTGAGTAGCTGGGCCAGGAATGCACCACACAACTAGCTGCTCAGCTAGCCCCTTCACTCAGACTGCCGGCCTGGGAGCAAGAGTCCATCTCTGCTCTGCAAGTAGGCCCTCCTTCCCCAAACGACCTCACCTCCTCAGCCCTCCTCCAGCCACCACCCTCCATGAAGGACATGGAACTGGGAAGGGCCTCAGGAATCAGGCAGCATTCATCGGAGTCTCCAGGACCCCAAACTCAAGATCTAGGCTGGAGGTGTAACTCAGTGGTACAGCACTTGCCTAGTACGCATGCAGTGGATTTGATCTCTAGCACCACACTAAGAAAGAAGGGGAAAAAAAGATCTAGCCCATTTCTAGTAGTGTCTTCCATGGGCAGATGCCGCAGTTGCATATCAGTACTTGTTCTGAAACTGTTGATAAACAAGGCAGGAAGCCAATAACACCAACATTTTATAAGTGAGGAAATTGAAGCTGACTGGGTGTTTCCCTTACTCCCCACTTCCAATCTGTCAGAAAATTGTCAGCTCTCTTTACCATACATTCAACTTTGCATCTAAGCAAGACTTTAGGGGCTGGGGAGATAGTTCAGTAGAATAAGCACTTGCCTGACAAGTGCAAGTTCAATCTCTGGGGTTCCATAAAAAATAAATATATAAATAAATAAGCCTTTAGCATTATCCATCAATTGTCAGGAAATACAGGGGACTAGGGAATAAGCTGAAGAATCCACAAGGAAACAATCAGTCAAATCCATTCTCCCAGTTATTCCAACAAATCAATCATGTGAAAACAAACAAGCAAACAAAGGAGGGACTGTTCCAGATTAAAAGCGATTTAAGAGACTGGGCATGGTGGTGCATGCCTGTAATCCCAGTGCTTGGGAGGCTGAAAATAGGAGGATCATTACGAGTCCAATCTGTGTAGTGAGACCCTGCAGACCCTGTACTAAAATACATTAAATAAATAAATATGACTTAAGAGATTCAAAGATCCAATAATACAACGTCTCATTTGGAACCTGGAGCACCAAATCAACCATAAAAACAAAGACAGATATGTGTCCACTGGGGTCCTGAACCAGGATGGTGAAGCCCCCCAAAGGCAACCAGAAGACAGGTCTAGTGGAGAAAGATGTGGGCAGGCCAAAGATCCAGAACAACAGGGTAGTCTTAGGAGGCCACCAAGCGTGCCACCCTCACCACT